AATGTTCCTGACTCTGCGGTTACAGAGTCCGATGGAGTGCCACTGACGGAACCGTGCCCTGAGATTGTACCACCTCGTAGATCTCAGAGAAATCGATGTGCACCTTCCTACCTGAGTGATTATGACTGTTCATAGTGTTTTTGCTTAGGGGGGAGGGATTTGTAATGTATTCAGATGCTGCACTGAATGCATGGGGATGAAGTGTGAATCATCCCATAGAGAAGCTATGCTAAGCTTCAGACATCGGCTAGGATTCGCGCCGAAAGTATTGTGTCCAATCGCATTTGAACTGTCTGTGGTGGGAACGATTGTGATTGGGCTATTATGCGAACAACCTGATAGGTTGGTACTTGTATAGTAGGTGTGGCTACATTAGCCCGGAATGTTTAAATACCGAGCAGCTGAAATGGACAAGCTGTTCGGGCTATGAGGAGTTGTACCGTGTTAGTGAAGTTGATTGTCGAGCTGAATAAACCTGAGTTTTGCTGAAATCACTCTCTGACTACTTTGTTAAGTACGGACTTAACATGAGGTGGCCCCCATATGACAGCCAATGTGACGTAGCAGTCAGGGCTTCAGAGTATGGGAGAGGCTGCAGGTGTGTGGGGGGTGGAAAGCTGAAGAGTGAGGGGGAAATAAAGGTAGGTTGATGATTGGCTGGGAAGGAGATATGGTTGACAACTCCAGGTGGGAAATTCCTGGAGATGTGGGGGATGGAGCCTGGAGAGGGTGAGGTTTCAGGAGGCGTGGGACCTCAGACAGGTACAAAGCCATAGACCCCACCCTCCAAACCAACCATTCCCTCTGGGGAACCAATCGTTACCAATCTCCAGGTGAGGGCTGAAGATCACTCAAAATTACAACTGTTCTTTAGGTAGCAGAGATCAGTTCCTCTGAAGAAAATGGTGGACTCAGTGTCATTATACCCTGCTGAGGTCGCCACAGCAAATTGACACTGAGTGTCCAAGGCCGGGGCACCTGCCCAGAGCCTCTTTCTAGAGGCCGTTGTATTTATTTCCACAACGGGCCTTTTTCCTAGTCTGTAAATAAAGGTAATTTTATGTACTCATACCCCACCTTTCTCTTCAAAGGGGACCCAAAGCAGCTTTACATCATTTCCCTTGCCACCATTTTATCCTCACAACAACTTTGCAAGGTAGGTTAGGCTCAGTGTGTGTGAGTGACACAAGGTTACCCAGCAAACCTCCTTGGGAGAGGTGGGATTCCAACCAGTTGAGCCAGTTTGGTGCAGTGGCAGGACTCTAATCTGGGGAACCAGGTTTGAATCCCCACTCCTCCACATGCAGCCAGCTGGGTGACCTTGGGCTAGTCAACAGTTCTCTCAGAGCTCTCTCAGCCTCACTTACCTGACAGGGTGTCTGTTGTGGGGAGAGGAAGGGAACGATGATTGTAAGCCACTTTGCGACTCCTTGTAGTGAAGTGCGGGGTATAAAACTACTACTTCTTTTCCTCCTCTTTCTTTTTCTGAATTAGAACACAAGTCTCCCAGCCCAGATCCTAGTCCAACACTCTAACCCGCTACATCACACTGACTCTCAGTATTACGAGTCTCTAATCCTCATCCAAATCCAGGAGCAGTGCACGTAAACGTCTCACGGCTCAGAAATGTGGAGCAGGCTTAAATGTATACTTCCTTGGAAGGAAGTCCTATTGAAGAAACTGAAATTTTATTTTGAGTCTAAAGGTAAAGGTAAAGGTTCCCTTGCTCGAAAGCCAGTCAAGTCCGACTCTAGGGTTGCGGTGCTCATCTCCGTTTCCAAGCTGAAGAGCCAGCGCTGTCTGAAGACATTTCTGTGGTCATGTGGCCGGCATGACTAAACACCGAGGCGCACGGAATGCTGTTACCTTCCCACCGAAGTGGTACCTATTTATCTACTTGCAATGTCTTGCTTTCGAACTGCTAGGTTGGCAGGAGCTGAAACTAGAGACGGGAGCTCACTCCGTCATGCGGCACCCGGGTCTCGAACTGCTGAACTACTGACCTTCCACAGCCTGCAGTTCAGCGTCTTAACCACTTGAGCCACCGCAGCTCCTTTTTTGAGTCTACAGGCATGTAATTGGGATACAGTGTAAAAATATCTAAAAAGGCAAACTGTCATCCAGACATACCTGCTTCAGAGGGGACATCAAGCGCCAACCCAAAGGATCTGGCTTCTTGAGTGATGCTGATGCTCTGCAGATCTTCCAGGGAAGGTAGTTCCATAAATCCAGAGCGGCCACAAGGAAGAGACCCATGTTTGCTTCCCATGGTCTTACTGCTCAGTGAACACCTCTCCAGTTTGTGCCCTCCTGGATCTGTCTGACAGCAGCAGCTGAGACTTCAAAGAGTGCACAGAGGCCCACCTGAGAGCTGACTTCTCCCATGGTGTTTGTCGTAAGGTTAACACATCCAATGCAATGAAAGGTCCTTTCAAGAGATCCCAGGACTGCAGCAACCTGGAAAGAGAAAAACAGATAAAGATCTCAGCATACAAATCCTAGATTTTTGTTCTGCTGCTCTCACACTATATTGCCAAGCAGTAGAGTCACTTATTCTTGGATTGGACTGTCACAAAGACACATATCTGTCTCTTGTTAGAAATATATCTTCTACGGTAATAAACCCTAACAAGGGTCACTGGGTGTGTTTGTGGGGGAAGGTATTTGTGAATTCACGTGTCTGTCTGTGACAGGTGGGGATGAGAGAGTTCTTTCAAGAACAGCTCATGAGAGAACAGCTCTGAAAGAACTTGTAACTGACCCAAGGTCACACCAGCAGCTGCATGTGGAGGAGTAGGGAATCAAACCTGGTTCTCCCAGATTACAGTCTGTGCTCCTAACCACTAAACCAAAAGCAGGAGAAGACTACAGAACTGGGAATGCACTTATCAAATTAGGAGGGAAAGGCATCAGGAAAGGAAATTATTGTTTGAATTACAATTAACTGGAGACATGATGCTTGATCATATATTTGGCAGAAACTTTGGGACAATGGGAAGTTTTGAATAGGAGATTCCAGGCTGTCACAGGACACTTAATGTCGAAATTTGCCTTGATGGCCACTGACTGCATACCATGTAAAAGACAATACAGGGGGAGAGGTCTCCTGTTTTCCAGCCTGGTGGGGCTGGGTTGCCTTTGTAAGGTTTGCTCCCCATGCTCTCTGCTGGCCTTGTGGGGACTAAGACTTGTTTATGGTGTTATTACATGCAGTACACACATTCAGGCTGGGAGCGAAAGGTATGCAGATGAAAGTGGAAGGGCAAAATATGGTTGGTGGATGTTGTCAGGGCTGCAGCAGACCAGTTTGGTGTAGTGGTTAAGTGCGCGGATTCTAACCTGGGAGAACCGGGTTTGATTCCCCACTCCTCCACTTGCACCTGGCTGGATGAGGTTGCCAAGTGTAAAGCAATTACCGACGGGGGAGCCTTGCCGGGCTCCGGGAGCCGTCCCTGGATCTGTGTGCGCGCGCTTCTGACGCGCGATGCCGATCATGTTGAGGGCGTGGCTCTGATCGTCGGAGGGAAAACCATAGAGTTTTCCCTCTGATCGGGGCCACACCCCCAATGTGATCGACGTGGTTGCGTCATCTCTGGTGACGCAGCCATGCTGCGCTTTGGGGGGCGGAGTTCCCCCCGGGGCCCGATTCCGCGGTGGTGGAAATCAGGCCTCCGAAGCGGGGGTTTACCCGCCCCCACTTGGCAGCCCTATGGATGACCCTGGGCAAGCCGCAGATCTGATAAGAGCTGTTCTTGAAAAAGAGTAGTTTCTGTCAAGAACTCTCTCAGCCCCACCTACCGCACAGGGTGTCTGTTGTGGGGAGGGGAAGGGAAAGGAGTTTGTAAGCCGCTTTGAGACACCTTTGGGTAGTGAAGGGTGAGGTATAAATCCGATCTCTTCTTCTTCCCTCATGCTTGCTATGCTGACTGTTCCTGGAGAAGGGCAGTTCGTGGTTGTTTTCCCCTGCGGAATGTCCACAAAGAATTGACTAGCAGTGCCATGATTATGTTGGTGGCTGGACACCTCCGCAGCCCTTAGAGCTGTGCTCCCCATTTTAAAGTGCCTCTTCCACTTGCTGCAGATAGACATTCATGGCATCACGTGTGAAGATGCTAGAGATATCAGGTCAGGGCACCCACACAAGGCCCGGTCTCGTCAGATCTCAGAAGCTAAGCAGGGCTGACCTCCAAGGTATACCAGGGTCGGGACACAGAGGCAGGCAATATCAAGCCACCTCTCTGAAATGTCCTAGCCCCGCTAGAAGTCACCAGAAGTCAACCATGACTTCCAGGCACGCAAGCACACAGACAAACTCACACACCAAAAAAGATATCAGCTCAGGCTATAACCCCATGTATGCTTACTCGGATGCATATCGTGCTAAAATAATGAGGAATTCCTTCTGAGCAGACATAATTCAGGGTGCATGGCCGCCTTTAGGGCATTTCCTAAAGGAGATCACACAGTAGTTCTGCCAGCATGACATAGGCTAATACCACACTAAGCCAGTTATAACACGCCGTCTTTCAAGACAATAGAGTTTCCTGTATGCACATTACAGTGTAATGTTTATGTAACTGTCAAGTATTAACCCTGCCAGTGGGGAGGGAAGATAAAGAACTGTGTGCCTTCCGGAGCATTTGAATGTTTACACAGGAGGAGAAAACTTCAGAGAAAGTTTTTCTCACATGCCCATCTGCCAATGAGAAACCAAAATGGGAAGTGGGGGGATCCTTCTTCCCGCTGCACTCTTTGCAGGAGGCGGGAGAGAACTGGACGTGGCAGGATCCTCCCCTCCCCCAGCAATTGGAATGCAGCACTGCCCCCATGCAAGTAGCCATCTTAAAAGCAACATTTCCCAGCATACTTAGGAGAGGAAGTGTGCAGGCATTATACATTTCCGGAGCATGCACCGGAAGAGATGTGTAGTTGGGTGGAGAGTTTGTTGCTGCTAGGTAAGGAGGTGGGTGAGGATTGAGTTTCTAAGCAATCTGATCCCTGTGGTTGCCGAGGGTGGTGGAGGTGGGGGGAATCTATTGCTGTCTTTCTCCCCTCACTCTTCAGTGGCTTTTTCCTTCCTCCCTGAAGCTGCTTTATACTGAGTCCAGGGGTCCCCAAAGGGATACCGCCTTTCCAGGTGCCCACCATCTGTTCTTAGGAAATGCCCCAGCTGGGCTTCCAACGAGCTCTTGGGAGATCTGATTGGCTGTGCAGATTAAGACATTGTTTCACTTGAGCTGCCACCACAGTGTTGGTCCCCCCCCCCCGTCATTGGTCTTTCTCAGTGGTTTTTTTTTAAAAATTATTATTATCCTTCTTCCCTGCACTTGGGCTTTTTCGGCCTGAGCAGTTTTGCCTCCTGCAGAGGTTGTTTTGTGGCTGGCTCTATTGACATATATGTCTATGATGAAGTGAGGTAGAAAGCTGTTACTGTGTATAGGTCAGTATGATCTAGTCTGTAAGTCTTAGCTGTCATGCTAAGTGGTTAACAATCTTACAGCCAGGTGTTTAACTACCAGGTGCTACTCTTTGTCCTCATTAAGAGTAGGTAATTAGTCTGCCCTGTTAGTGATTGGCTGGGGGTTGTATATAAGGTATAAGCTTGATAAATGGGGGGGGGGCATAGCTCTCTCTAACTGAGGTATGTTATGCTGTGTAACAGTCTATATACATTCTCTGTGTAAATATTCACCATTATCGCACTATAAACTTTCTGCACTTTCACTGCCAGTTGGTCTCCAGGCTTCTTATTTACTGTACCCAATAGGCTCTGTCTGCCCCCTGTGGCAGCCATTTTGCAGTTGCTGCTACCACCCTGCATCAGAATCCAAAAGGTGACCATAGGCTCAAAAAGGTTGGGGGTCCCTGGCCTACTCCAAGTAGCAGGTGCTTTCCACGCTCTCCAGCTGAGGGCTTTTACATCCTCTGCTATTTGATCCCAAAAATATTTTTTTAAAAAAAACTTGATATACCAGCAGTTGAATTTGGGACCTTCCTTAAGCAAAGCAGCTGCTCTACCACTGAGCCATGGCCATGGTCTCCAGTCCCCAGAAAAGAAGCACATTTCCCCCCAGCTTCTGAGATCCTTTTGTAAAAGAAATAGGTCAGCTGACCCAAACTATGCAGGAAAGCGTCACAGACTGAGCTACAACCAAGAAGGAAATCCATGGATATTAAAATGAGGGCTGGAAGTAGGGAAACATTGAGATGGAAAACCTGCACAAGCAGTGGTGGGTGGTTCCCTCCCCAGACCTTATTCAAAAAGGAAGGGTTAATGAGTGAGGAGGGTGAAGTATTGAATGATGCCCTCTTCACAGCATCTACAATACACGCCTCTGCTACACACCGCTCAGTTGTTGCCTGGCTGGGATGCTCTCTACTTAGCCCTAGCATGGCTTTATCACAAGAATATGACGTAAGAGCCCTGTTAGATTAGACCAGTGGCGCATCTAGTCCAGCCTCCTGTCTCGCCAGGGGTCCCTATGCCATGATTTCATAGTTGACGTTGCTAGGTATCCTGCTTCCTGTCTCACTTTGCCTACAGATCATCATCTTCCCTGTCCTGCCTGGACTTTTAATGAGTCAAGCTCCCTAAGGCCCAGCCCCTGTCACCTATTGCTTAGTTCCTTCTGGTCTGTTATGTTCCTGCAGTGTATGAGGAGATATGCCTGGAAGTGACCATCTGGCTACAGATCTGGACAAATTCTGCCCATTAAGGTACTTTCCTCGGCAAATCTCACACCCATTTCAATCACTTCTAGGTCCAGCTACTGGAATCAAGATAGCGGTGCAGTCTGAGTTCCTGTGTATGATCCTGCTCTCTGGCTGTGTTTCTCCAGTACCCATAAAAACTGTGGAGCTGCACACGAAAAAAGGTAGGAAATGCAGAGGTAGATTTCTGGGGGGGGGGGGGGGGGGGAGAATGATACTTTCCAAGACTGCCAACTACTTATAAAGAAAGAGAACGGCATGGGCATACACTAAGCATAGTTTTACTCTTGCTGCATCTCCACACTGAGGGCAGCTGCATCTAATGGATTTCTCTCTGACACATGGTTTTAACAAGTCTAAGAGCTGTGTCAAGAAGAAAAGGTGTTGGATTCTACCACTCTGTTTAATCATTGGCACTGACTTGCTCCACCAGTGGAAGGCTTCCATGTACCAGAACAGTGTACTAGCATCAGCAAAACACAGTGCCAACATCCAACCCAACAGTGAATCTAAATACCTTTCTTTGATTATTGCATAAGCATGATCAACTGCCATAGGCTATAGGTTACCGATATATCTAATTCTCAGCATGGCCAAATTTGTAGATACTTAAATCTGGAGACTGGAACCATGAGCAGATAAGACAGATCTTTCTACAAGCCTGAGAAAAGCCCAAGTTTGCAGAAAAATCTGAAACTGAAAAAACACACACATATACACTCGGGGGGTGGGGTGTTTAAGCCTGT